GCACTTCCGGGTGTTGTCTGACCGCCGTCGCGCGTCTCGGGTCTCCCGGCCACCGCCCGGGTCGTGGAGCCAGGAGCGACGTCACCGCCATGGCGGGCATCAAAGGTGGGCCTGGGGCGCGGGGCCGCGGGGCCGGGGACCGTGGTGGGTAGGGCGGGGCGGTGTGGGGGGACGACCGAGCCTCGGTTCCTCCGGCCGTACCCCGCTCTCCGCCCCTGGACCAGAGCCGGGCAGCACGGCCACGGAACGCTGTGAGCGAGTTTGCAGCCAGAGACATTGAGGGCAGCGATCGGAAGGGATGCCCGGCCCCGCACATCAGGGTAGCTTCCCACCCGAGGCACGAACGTGGTCCTCTCCGAAGCCCGAGCTCTGCATCCACTCCCGGGATCCCGGTGCACCATCTTTTCCTTGCCTCTAAATCGGATGCATCTTGATAGTGTTTGTACGGTGCAGCAGAGCCCGGATGCTCACCCGAAGGCTGCCTTTCCCTCACAGTTGCACGTTGACACTTTTTTAGTTGTGATTTTTTTTTAAAAGATAAGGTAACTGTGACACCTTGAAAGATAACTTGTTTATTGCGTTCTTTGGAGAGAGGGACTGTTGCTTGATGGTCTTGCCCCTGGGGTTAGAAGGAAAGTTTTCTGTCTACTTATCAACGGATCGCTTTGATTTCTTGACCTGCTTTGTAGAGGAGACAGCCAAGCAGGAAGTAAACAGTTGGCTGGTGGTGCCTCCCACCTCGCTGGAGAGGGCGATTTTGGTTGAGCTTTTTCCCAGGGTTACATTTTTCTGGTGTCTTGTTGATTCTCGGTGCCGGAAAAACGTTTCGTTTGCCATATAGAGCCTTGTCATCTGAGCAAGTAGGATACTTTCAGATCTCCTTTTGAACTCTAATAAATCCTTTCAAATCCTAATGTGAACGGAAGTTATTGTAAAATGTTGCAGTTTTTTTAAGAATTGTTGCCTGTGTGTCTCCTCCCATTTCTTCAGTGTCTTTACTGAGGGACTCTTTTAACAAGAAAACAGTTTTGTGATTCTCCAAATGTGGGTAATGCTAATCTAGGGACAGTGTCTCCAACGGAATTTTACTTAAAAGATTTCTCTCAAGGGGCTTTAAAGTTACGATTGGTCATCAAGACCAATCTTCCTGTCCGCCTTTATATTGCCTTTGTAGCAAGGCTCTCGGGATCATTATATATTTCTTAGGCGGGTTGCCTGTTACTTTGTGATAAATTCTATTTTCTGCTAACTCCCAGACTGGGGAATTTGACCCCGGCACCTTTCGTAGTCACAGACCCATCATCAGCTTGTCTCCAGAGAATTTTTGCTAGGTAATTGGGCTGTTCCATCCCTGGCCTGGAGGCTTTGGGAGTAGAAACCGCACTCCTGTCTCATCTTCCAGATGTTGCATCGCTCAGTGACTGTATGAATTCTTGCCTTACTGGTGTGTCACTGAAGACACCATTTGTATAAAATAAGCCACCTCATTGCCAGTGTCATAAGCCTGAAGAAACAGTACTGGTTTGGGGAGCGCTTTTGAGCAGTTCTCAGCTTTTATCTGTAATGACTTAGGAGATGAGATGTCGCGTGCAGTCGCGTCTGGACATCTTTTAAATACTGAGTATTGAATGCTTAGAAATATGACCCTAGGGTATCTTGATTTCCCCCCAAACACTTCCACGGGACTTGCTTTCTCATATGTGAGTGTTCAAAAGAATTGGCTCTTGTATAAGTAAATGCATCGGTAGTTTTATGGGCTGGAGAGATGGCTCAGCGGATAAAAGTGCTTATCGCTCTCACTGTAGAGCCAAGTTCAGATCCTAGCACCCCCATCCTAGCTCACCAAAGCCTGTAACTCCAGCTCAGTAGGACACACATACACACACCCCCATACTAGAATAAATATTTTAAAATTGATTTTAACTTAACATTTTAAAATAATAATTTTCTTACAGTATTCATATAGTATCTGTAGTAGGAGCTTGTGTTTTAAATGTGTTTCAGTACCGGAATCTTATCTTTTCGTTCTTTCTTTCTTTTTTCTTTCTTTTCTTTTTTTTTCTTTAAAGTTAACTTCTGTGTATTTGCTTTTCTGAGACATTGTGTCGTCTAGGCTGACCTGGAACCCACAGTCAGCGCCTCAGCCTTTTTCATAGGATCTTGGGCATGTGTCACCATGCTTAGCTTCTCACTGGCTCTTTTGCTTTTGCTTTCTCTTCATTAAACTAAGTTCTATTTTAGTTGGGGTTTTGTTTGTTTTTTCAAGACGGTCTCTTTGTGTACCCCTGGTTGTCCTGGAACTCTCTATAGACCAGGCTGGCCTCAAACTCAGAGATCTACCTGCCTCTGCCTCCCCAGTGCTGAGATTAAAAATGTCTGCCACTGTACCCAGCCCTGTTTTTATTTTCTCTTTTAAGGAGTAAAATTTGCACAATGGCATCTCTTAGTGCTAAGCACCTCTCCTGTTGGGTTTGGAAGACACACGCTGTGTAGCTCCAGTCCCTGTACACCCTGGAGAATCCCCATGCAGGCTTCCCCAGCTCCTCTGTCCAAAGAAAGCAAAGGTCCTGTCTCCTGTTTCCTCCCCACCTTAGCTCAGCCTCTGCTCTTCACGTGAGCAGTTAAAAATGTAGTCAAAGGGCTGGAGATATGGCTCAGTGATTAAGAGCACTGGCTGCTCCTCCAGAGGACCCGGGTTCAATTCCCAGCACCCACATGGCAGCTCACAACTGTCTGTAACTCTAGTTCCAGGCCTCTGACAGCCTCACACCATACGCATGCAGGCCAAACTCCAATGAACAAAATCTTTTTTTAAAAGGAATGTATTCAAAGAATCTGGATCTTCTTTTATAAGAATATAACTGTTGGAGGCTGGAGCTCAGCAGTTAAGAGCATTTGCTGCCAAGGATCTAGCTTGGGTTCCCAGGATCCGCATGACTGCTAGTAACTGTCTGTAACTCCGGCTCCAGGGGTTCCAGCCCTCTCTTCTAGTCTCTTCCCGAACCAGGCACATACATGGTACATGTGTATATATATGCATGCACACACATATACACATATATATGTACATATGTACAGACAAAGCACCTGTGTATTAAATTTTTGTTTGGTTGGTTTGGTTTTTCAAGACAGAGTTTCTCTGTGTAGCCTTGGCTGTCCTGGAACTAGCTGTATAGACTAGGCTGGTCTTGAACTCACAGAGATCTACCTGCCTCTGCCTCCAAGTGCTGGGATGAAAGGCGTGCATCACTATCACCTGGTTAAAAAAAACAAATTTTAAAAACTAATCTAGATGTGTGTTCTTTGTCACAGAATAGAGCTAATCTCAGACACATTAAGGCCCTTCCTCTTGCTAGGAAGACTGCAAACACATTTTAAGAAAGACTTTTTTTTTTCCCTGCCTGACTTACAGTGTTTCCCCAGTCTCCTGCAGGAGGGCAGTTGTTGACTGCCTGCAAGTCTTTCATCTGCTTCTAATGTATTTCAATGTGGGGAACAAAACATCAGACTTTTTACAAAGTTTCACATCGTGAGACTCGGGTAACAGTGATTTCTGTCTGGAAGAAAGCATTTCTGGGCTTTAGTTCTGAGCACACGAGCTATTAAGAAATGAACCTAAGTATGGGTGTTCTTTTTCTTTCCTTACAGCCTTTTGATGTGTAGGCCATGCTGGCCTGGAACTAGCCATGTGTCACAGGCTCCCCTGAACACCCTATCCTCCTACCTCACCCTGTTGAATGTTAAGAGTGGATCACCGTACCTAGCTTTAGATTTTGTTTCGTTTGTTTGTTTTGATGGGGTTTTGTGGTACTGGTGGTCCTGCTGGTCCTGCTGCTGCTGGTGGTGTTGGTGCTACTGGGGTTGCTACTGGGGCTGCTGGTCAGGCTTCTGGGGCTGGTGCTGATGGTAGTTTGTCAACTAGTTAGTTAGTTGGTGTCTTGTGAAGCCCAAGCTAGCCTGAAGCTGGCTAACTTGAGCTCTGATTCTTGCTTCCTCCAGTAGAACAGGTTATCCCAGATGACTTCTGGATAAATTCCGTCTCCTCTACAGTATTTACAGTGTTGCACTAAGCTGTTTGGTGGCTGCATTTCCCAGAGTAGAGGTGTTTTTCCTTCAGAATCTCTTTTTTAATAGTATCTTCAGTGTTTAGGGTCTTGCTTGCTTTTTCCATACAGTCCTCATTTATAGAAAGAAGAACTGAGTTAGCTAAGTTATTGAGGTAACCAGTTCGTGGCCAGCAGAGGCCAGGACACGGTGCTCTTGGGCTCCTCTCTCCCCAGTTCCGTGCTCCACCAGGCTACTCCATTCTACAGTTGCTACTGGATGTTAAAGCTGGGGCAAGGGCGTCAGAAACAGAAGAGGAACAGTTGGGAAGGGAAGATGAGTAGGGATCAGTTTGGATTGCTGCTGTGGTGACTAAGCAAGGACCAACTCGCAGTCGAAGATCCTGGCAGGCTCACGCACGCGCGTCTCTTACTCCTTGGCTGTGCCCAGCATTGTCCTTCAGAGCGCCTTGTCGGCCCACTTGCATTCCCACCCCTTCCCTACCTGCTTGCATTCATTACTGGCCTTTTGTTTTCTAAATCTCTAGCTTCTTCCAGCATTCATGTTCCTAAACAAGCAGAATGTCTAATCTCACTTTCTCAGTAATTCCTTGGTGAAGTGTTTATCGAGTCCCCGCTGTTCACCAGCTACTACAGAAAATCCTGAGGCTACAGAGATAAATAAATCGGAAACTCATCCCGAAGGGGGTCCTGTTTGTGCAAGAGATCTTAAATAATGCCCATGGATGTCTAATCCTGTTCAGGGGACAGAACAATTAAGAAAGTGAAAATGTGTAAGCGAGAAGGCAGACCCGGCAGCCGTAAAATTGATGGTGGCTCATTGTTTGTTTGTGTATTGACATTGATTTTTTGAGATGGGGTTTCAAGTAGCCCAGGCTAGCCCTAACTTCTAACTCAGTATATAGTCAAAGCTGGCTTTAAACGCCTGGTCCTCGCTGCTTCCACCACGCAGTGCTGGGTTTCCCAGAGTGCACCACCACACACGGTCATTGTTTAGTATTTTAGGGACTAGCCAGATGGCTCATCGGCATGCGCACACAGATAACGCATGGTAAATAAAACGGGATGATTTAAAATCCTGCTTAGTTCTCCCACTAGAATGCATACGCCACAAAAGGAAAAGCTTTGTTGGTTTTCCCTCCTCGTTGCTGTGCCTTCAGCAGCAGGGGTGATATGGCACACATTGAATGCTCGGTGTTTTTGTTGCATGAGTAAATGAGTGTTATTTATTCATGCGCGGTCCTTGGAGATTGAATCCAGAGCCTCACGTACACCAGGCAAGCACTGTCCCACAGAGCTGGTCCCTAGCCCCTCCGTACATCAGTAAGTAATAAATACAGTAGCAAAGTTGTTGTAGCTCTGAGGAGGAGATGCTGGAGATGAGAGCGGAAGGGAAAATAGAAATAAGCTAGAAGAGAGACAGCAGGGCGGGAACACGGGCTCGGGGCTGGGGCGAGCCAGCGAGCTCCTTGTTGTGTGCTTGACGTTTGATTGAATGAAAACCCTGAGGTAGAATGATAGACATGCACAGAGGGCTTGTATGGGAAGTAGCCGCTGGTTTCCAGAATAGGGAAGAGTGGTGTAAAAAGCCAGGACAGGACTTTACTGCCTGTGTGACCGAGTCTGGGACTCTAGACAGGTCCGTGAGGAACAAAAGGGAAACTCAGTATTCTGTAGTTACTGTACTCCCCATAAACCCGGAATGCTCTGTTTGCTGTTTAAAACAAAACAAACACTTCCTCAACTTTTCCCCACTGCTGCCGGGAATATAAAATATAATGACGTTAATAACCAAAAACACTGTTGTCATGGTGACCTGACTCGTGTTGTAGTCAGCGTTCCAGCTGACTCTCAGTTGGCCAAGACGGTGTCTCCAAGACGGTGTGAGTGACCATCTTGTCAGTAGTATTAGTGGGTGTCTGACCCCTCGCCACTGATTTTGGTTTGTGTGCTGTAGGTTTTTACTTGGTAAATTTTAGATTTTCACTTATCTTTTGGATTTTAAATTTTGGATTATCTTTCTGTTAAGGTAAACCATACCAGTTTTTAAAAAGTTACTTTTTGGGCCTGTGAAATGCCTTACCATGTGAGGAAGAGTACTTGCGTCTAACCCTGATGGCCCGAGTTCTGACCCCAAAGCCCCGGATGGTGGAAGAAGAGAACAGGTCCTGCAGGTCATCCTCTGACCTCCACAAGGACACACACTAAATAAATAAGTCTAAATAAAAAACGTAATAAATCTTACCAAGTTGTGCCCTTAGCCATTGGGGATATAGAAATGCAGGCTGTGTAGAAGCTAACACTTTTCTCTTGGTTGAAATCTAGGTCATTGGTTACATATAATAAAGTCCTTTCTCACCTTAACGTACACGAGACACGCGTGGGGGACTTCAGAGGTGCATCTTACTATAGTTTGCATCCTCCTTCTGCTGCCTTGGTAGGATGGTGCGCCATGTTCCACATCAGGCTACACTCACACCCTCAGATTTCCTGGGACTCGGGAAATGAGGGCCAAAGTAACTGCTTCAGTAACCTGTTTAAAGACTAACAAATTTGGCTCAGCGGTTGAGAGAACTGATTGCTCTTCCAGAGGACCCAGGTTCAATTCCCAACACCCACATGGCAGCTCACAACTGTCTGCCAGTTCCAGGGAATCTAACACCCTTACAGGCATACACACAGACTAACATACAAAAAATACACATAAAGTAAAAATAAATACATTATTAAGAAGCAAAGTTACTTTTTGATTTTAAAAAAAGACTAACAAAATTGATTGGTTCCAATAAAGCTATAGGCGTGTTGTTACTATGAAGTCTATATAGTAAATGTCTTGCATTTAAAAAATAACAATAACAAGGCATGTATGGTGGCATATACCTTTAATCCCAACCCTTGAACTGCAGAGGCAGGTGGCCAATCTGGTCTACATAGCAAAGTCCAGGCCAGCCAGGGCTACATAGTGAGACCCTCTCAAAAACTAATTTTTAAAAAAGATCATACATTAGCTACACACACCCTTGACAGCTTTTCCTGCAGCCTTGTGCTTTTGTGCTTCTGTTTTGGTGAGGCTTTTTTGCCCCTCCTCCCTTCCCTCCTCCCTTCCTATCGCGTGTGGAGGTCAGAGGATAACTTGATAGAGTGGCGTTTCCCCTTCCGCTTCTGTGTGGGTTCCAGGGATTGACCTGGGGCCACAGTCTTGTGTGGTCAGTGTTTCACTCCCGTGTGGATTAAATATAATGTTCGCGCTGTGGTGGGGGCGGACATTAACCCTGGGACCTAATAGACCTGAGCAAAGGTAGCTGGTGTGTCTGTGTGTTAGCAGTCGGCCTAAACCGATGTGCAGGTTAAGGATTCCTTATTGGGAGTTTTTGGAACCAGATGTGTTTCAGCTTGTGGATTTCCTCCAATTTGGGAATATTTGAATGTCCATAATGAGGAATGTCCATGAGGTATTTGAGGGGCAAGGTGTTTGTTTGCAACAGAGTGTGATGATGTTTCCCTGACTGTTTGGGAACTCACTATGTCGACCAGAGTTCTGTCCCCTACCTCCCTAGAGATGGGATTAAAGACCTGTGTCAGCAGGCCTGGCTGACGTCCAGATTTCAGAGCCTTTCAAAGGGCTAAGGAGGACGCTCAACCTCTAACGCTTTTGTTTTGAGGGCGCTGTAGAAGCTGATTCTGAAACTCTGTAATTGTCAGTTTTGAAGACAGTTCACATTTTGTTTTGGCTTTTGAGATCGTGTCTTACCCTATAGCTCAAGTTAACATTTAGCTTGTAGTAATCCTCCTGCCTCAGTCTCTTGAGTGCTGAGATTACCTATTACCGGCCATGAGCCACTCCTCCGCGTGCAGGATGGTCCACTTTTAACAGCTGGAGTTTGGAGGGGAGGGGCAGGGTGTTTCACCTCTGGGATTCAGGTAGTGCTCAGGCTGGGCGCAGACAAAGGCGGCACTGGTGTCTTCTCCTGCTGAACTCTCTGGGCTTCTGTTTGTTTTGCAGCTCTCATTAGCTTGTCGTTTGGAGGAGCAATTGGCCTGATGTTTTTGATGCTGGGATGTGCCCTTCCAATATACAAGTACGTAATGGATTTTTGTTTTCCTCTTTTTGAGTGTTTAAAGGTAAAACTCTCCTGCTTTTAAAGTTTCTAATGCACTTTGTTTTCCCTGATGGAGATGCTTGTTCACCAAGCACAATCCTCTCCTGAAAATCACCGCTTAAGGGTTATCCGTAGAGACACCGGAATGCCCAGGCAGAGGGATTTGGGGTGTGACCTGCTTTTGTGATGGTCTGGTGACCGCAGCTCGGCCCTACTGCCCATCAATAATACTCCAGCGAAATCTAAAACGTCTTATTACAGAAAATAACATAGGCAGCTCCTGAACACAGCTGACTAAACACACGAGGTAGGTTATGTCTTGTCCTAGAATAGAAAGAACTCCCTTCCATTGAGACATTGTCTCACTGCGTTGCCCAGGCTGACCTCACTCATAGTCTGCCTGCTCCAGCCTCCCAAGTTCTAGAATTCTGGATATTCATTGCCTGCCCAGTTTAGAAAACTTTTAAAATTAACATCTAAGTAACTTGGTTTTAAAAATACAAATGAGTAGAAGGGAACCACAAACGTGGAGAGAGGATTGCGTTGCTGGTAATGACATGAAAACATACTAAATCCCACTCAACGCTACATGAAATCTACTGGTGAAGAAAGGAAGTGGGCAGACACTGCTGGATGCCAGCGGGGACTCGGTCGGGTAGGGGTTTAGGAAGTGAGTAGGTGCCATTTCTTGGAACTAGTTTGCTTGCTTGTATCTTGTAGTTCGTGGAACTGGCCCTCCCCTTCTGTGAAATTCTCATACAAACACACCTTGCAAATGCCTGTAGAGATACACTGTGAATCGCTGTTCACAGTGACCATGTCTGTAATTGCGGAAATGGAAAACGGGTGACATCACAAATGCCCTTCCAAAACTAAATTATGGGCTGAGAGAAATGCTATAGTGAATAAAGCACTTGCAGCAGAAATGTGAGGAGCTGAGTTCAAATCCCCAGAACCCCTGTAATAGCTGGGTGTGGTAGCACATGTCTGTAATCCCAGGGCTCCTCTGACGAGACGGAAAGTGAAGACGGGAGGATCTGTAAGCTTTGCCGGGCCAGGTAACCTGGTACACACACCAGCAAACAGACCCCGTCTCAGACAGTGTGGTGGGTGAGAATCGACATCCAGGATGGCTTTCCGACATCCACATACTGTGGCACACACACACACACACACACACACACACGCACGCACACACACACACGCAGAGTTAAAATGTAGAGACTGGAGAGACAGTTCATTAGTCAAGTCCTCCATGACTGGTTTTCACACCACATGCCTAAGCAGAGTATAGTGTTCCATGTTTGTGATCCCAGTGCTGGGGAGGCAGGGACAGCCTAGCCTCTTCGTTAAGCCCCAGGCCAGGGAGAGACTCTGTCTCAAATAGAAGTGGGCAGTGCCTGAGGAGGAATGGTGCCCAAGGTTGTTCCCTGACCTTCATGCCAGTGCCTGTGCGCATGCAGGCACTAATGCACCCTTGCAAACGTCCATATACCAAAAAAACAAATTATTGGGAAATAGTGACTGACAGTATTAGCCTTAAGGAATGAGGAAGGACTGGAAATCTGTAAATGTGATTCTATGGAGCTTTACCTTGGTTAAATTTGTATGGATTGTGGAGGGCCCACAAAAAGCTCCTTAGGTTAAAAAAAAATTAAAAAGCAGCTTCTGGTTTTAATTTTGCATTTCTATATTGTTTGAGCTTTTTTCTTAAGCACATAAAATACTTAGAAAAAGATTAAGAAAAGCACAACAGGCTGGAGTGATGGCTCAGTACTTAAGAACACTGGCTGCTCTTCCAGAGGACCTAGGTTCAGTTCCTAACACCCCTGTGGTACCTCACCACTGACTGTAATTCCAGTTCCAAGGGGATATGATACCCTCTGCTGGCCTCTTTGGGTATTACATGCACTCAATGCACATACATTCATGCCAAACACATAAAAATAAATCTTCAGAAAAAGAAAGCAAATAGCTTCATCATATCTCCGCTGTGTATGTATTTAATCTTGTCAATTTTAAAGACCATTTGTTTCTTGTAAATTTGATAATATGCTTATAAAACACAACAAAGAAGTGGAAGGAGTTTGTCCCCTTCACACAGCTTCCCCCACTGCAGTTGCTAAAATCAGAAAATAAAATCACAGCATGGCTAACAATGAACTAAAAGCTATGTTTTACAATACTATTTTCAGTTGGTGCCCTATATTTTGGTTTCAGTTAAGGGAAGCATGGGTTCTAACACTATGATAAGGCAGGATGTCAAAGGCATGGGTCCTTAATTTTTAAAGTTTTGTGTTAATATTCTTATTTTCAGTATGCCTCCTTACTAAGCTAAAGTGATTTTTTAAATTTCTTTTTATTATTTCATAAAGCATTTTGTCAGTAGACCCTTTAAATTTGTGCTATAATTGAATACAGGGATGAGTGGACCCTGACATTCTCCCACAGGCCGTGGCTTTGGTCTCAGCTGCAGCTTGTTTGCTACCTTGTCATTTCCCATTGCTCTGTAAACAAACCCGTGTTTAGTATGCTGGAAAGCGACAGGGCTGACAAGCACCGCACTGACTTCTCTCTCTTTTCCAGTCAATACTGGCCCCTCTTTGTGCTGTTTTTTTACATCCTCTCACCCATTCCGTACTGCATAGCGAGAAGATTGGTGGACGACACGGACGCCATGAGCAACGCCTGTAAGGAGCTCGCCATCTTCCTCACAACAGGCATCGTCGTCTCCGCCTTTGGGCTCCCGGTCGTCTTTGCCAGAGCACACCTGGTGAGCTGCCGCTGTCTGGGGCTGTCTTTACGTTAGATTGTTGTTTCTTTCTTAACTCTTCCGTCATGTAAAAGAGAGACCTGAGACGCTAGGGTGTAGAGGACAGGTCTACACCCTTGTCTTTCCATTCGTTCTTGCTGTCAGGGGAAACTGTTGGAAGGCAGAGTGTAGGTCTGCAGCAGAAAGGGCACGTTAACTCCCCAGCGCTGAGTGCCCGTGGGCCTGCAAAGGGCAGGGTTCTCAACCGTCCTAATGTTGAGACCCTTTCATTTGTGTCCAGGTGGCCCCCAACCATAAAATTATTTTGCTGCTACTTCATAACTGTATTTTCTACTGTTATGAATCATAAATACCAGATATGCAGGGTATCTGATATGTGACCCATTGGAAAGGGTTGTCAGGCAACTTCCAAGGAGTGGTGCCCCACAGGTTGAGAACCCTGACCTCTAAAGCCTAGAAGTCTGAGAAGGTTGTTCTCCGCAGCTGGGAAAGTAGGGGAGAGGAGAAAGAGCAGTGGAAAGGTGGAGAGAAGGGCGGAGACTCGCCACACCTCAAGTGTGCTGGAGGTGGTTATGCCCTCGGCCTCTTTCAGAGAAAGCACAGTGTGTTTGCATCAGTGGTGCTTAGGGCTCCCGCTGCTCAGACTTTTAAACTCACTGAGAAAGAGTAACTTCCTCTGTAAGCATTAACTGTGGAATCCTATGTGGCCCCAGGGATCCACCCCAGGCAGGGTGAGCCCTAGATGCCCAGGGCTACAGATGGAGCCAAACAAAGCTCTGTTGGTCGTTATAGAAGTGAAGCGTGTTCCAGAATAATTATCACTCCCTAACTCTACTTTTCAATCAATCAATGACGGCAAATAAAAACACTGTTTAAGAGTGTTGAGTGTGGTACTGTGACGGTCATCACAAGCCACATTACTTACCTCTGTGATTGACCAGTGCACAGAGCATTGATTGGCTACCAGCGGCCTTTGCTCTGCACACCTGCTGACTGTGGCCTTCTTCCTGCCACAGATTGAGTGGGGAGCTTGCGCCCTCGTTCTCACGGGGAACACCGTCATCTTCGCGACTATCCTGGGCTTCTTCCTGGTCTTTGGGAGCAACGATGACTTCAGCTGGCAGCAGTGGTGAGAGGAGCCACCAAACTGTTGACACATGGACTTCTGTCATCTGTTGGCCGTCCGCGCACAGAACAGGAGATGGGGACCGTGATGCTGATTGTCCCGCGAGCTCTTGGGGGTGTCCCCAGCGCTCCCTTCTCATTCTTGTACGCCTGCTGTTTCCACGGGGACTTGCTAAGGATTAAAAGGATTTTCTCTTTTGGAAAAGCTTGACTGGTTTCCCACTTCTCTAGACCGTGCTTTCCGTGGTATCCTGCTGAATCTAAAGTACTTACGTGTTTTCCCTGTTGAGTTGTTTTTAAATCAGTATGCAATGTTAAACCTTTTTCGGATGTAATAACCATTTGCATTGGTTCAGGAATTCAGAACTTCTGTCTGTATTACGGGCTAAAGTTCATATTTTTCTCTAAAAATCAGTTAATCCATTATAAATATATATATATGTAAGTTTTCATTCAGTCAGGATGACGTCACTCGCGGGTGAATGCAAGCATTCAGAGCGTTGACATACCGTACACACTACTTACTCAGTGCAAAGACAGCTGCATTTATACCTCAGGGGGGCGAGTACCACTGCCCATGCCCTCCAGAAGGGTTGCTGGTTTTGTGAATGGAGAATTATTTTATGGAATTGCTACAAAAGAATGTTTTTCTCTTCAGTTGTTCGGGTTTGTGTTAAACTTTAAGGTACAAGTGTGACAACAAGCCTAGGGCCACAGTTTATAGCCGTGTTTATTACAGTCAAAGCCAGTGAGTCTTTGCGCGGGAAAGCAAAGCTGCAATTCCGCCGTTTGAGCGCCGCTTTATAAGTGACAGGTCCAGTGGCTCCGAGGGTGACATGGACATGCATGGGACAGTTGTGTGTTTGCTCTGTAGATGCTCAAAAACGTTCCCCCCGCTTCCTCCTTTTAACTTATTTCGTACATTGTATATATTAAGTCAGAGAACTTTTCAAATATAGTTTAATAGCATTTAGAAACGTTTGACTACTAGGAAAACAATTGCTATGCCATACATTCAGAGTGCCCCTCCCCCTCAAGGCCTTGCCATCATTCACAAGTGACTTGTTAGTCTTGCAGGTAAGACAGGGACAGGACAGTTGTGGGACTCAGGCCATGATAAGAGCAGTCTCCTGAGGTCAGAGAATATGTGTTTCTTTTTTTTTTGTTTGTTTGTTTTTTGTTTTTTTGAGATGGGGTCCCACCATAGCTATCAAGCCTGTCCCTGAACTAGCTCTTGTAGACCAGGCTGGCCTTGAACTCACAGGGATCCGCCTGCCTCTGCCTCCCGAATGCTGGGATTAAAGGCATGCGCCACCGCCCGGCTGTGTGTTTGTGTTTGTGTGTGTGTGTGTGTGTGTGTGTGTGTGTGTGTGTGTGTGTATGTATTTTGAAACCACTGAAGGCAGGCTTCCTGGCGCCTCTTCCCTGAGGTCTGGCCTCATCATGATAGACCTGCTGTTGTAAAGGTGTTTATTCTGCAGATTAATACAGAGTTGACAAATTCAGCTATGTCCCAGCTTCAAACTTAAACCCAACCGAAAACATCCCAAAGTGGCAGGGCTGACTAAATTGTAGCAATTATTTGCATCTTCGATTCTCAGTACTTAATTCAAAAGCTGGCTCTGAAAATGTTCGCTTTGGTCGGAGTATTTGGTGAGGACATTTGTATGTTTCTTCAGTCTGCTGACAGCAAAGAAAGTGTTCTGCCTTTAGCCGAGGATGGGTAACCATGTTTGAGGTGGGGGACATATACGAAATTTGTTCAGCGGTTCCTAAAGATGCCCAAAGCGGCAGTTTTGTTCTGTTTGGCCTGACCCACGTGATTACCCTTGGCCGCGAGGTGGGGAGCAGCGTGAAGTGTGCAAATGTAGCCGTGCCATTTGTGGGTTAGACCAAACGTGGCTCACTGAGGAGCGCTGATGGAGGGCTGTGTGTGTGCCTGTGTGTGTTCCTGTGTGTGTGTGTGTGTGTGAGTGCGTGCACAGTCAGAACTCTGCCTGCGATCAGAATGGAGAGGGAAGTTCCTTCTCAGGCCCCTCCCCATTCTCTGTTCCTTCACCAATGCCGCGCGTGCGCTTGGCCATAGACCCCTTTCTAACAGCCGCATATTTCTGAGTACTAATTTTGTCGGCAGCATTGTGTGTCGGACGTTGACACTGGCTTGACAGCCCCATCTCTGATTTCTGGGCTAGTTTCTCAAGAATTTTTCATGAATATGCACCAACACGACATTGCCATTCTGCTGTGGAGAGAAAGAAAACTTTTGGTGATGAAATAATAAAGATTTTAAATATCCATTTTAGCTTGTGGATGCTTTCATAATAAAAGTCCAGTCTCTGAAGTGCACTGACCGTCTAACCATTTAATATCTTCTCTAGTGCTGAGGCCCATAGCCTATAGCCCATAGCCTCAGCACTAGAGAAGCTGAGAAGAGGATCGGGAGTCCAAGGCTACAAGGCTACGTAGGACCCTGAAGGCCACGTAGGACCCTGTCTTAAAAACAAAAAAAGAAAGAAAGAAAGAAAGAAAGAAAGAAAGAAAGAAAGAAAGAAAGAAAGACAAACTAGTAGCATGCTAGGAAGCAAGCATGCTAGCAGATCAAACCTCTGCGGAAAGTGAAACCATAGTAACAACGGTGCCGTGAGGCTCTGTGGTCTTGAGTGGTGATAACGGGCTGGCCCTGTACCATACTTGTATCCTGTGCAGCAAGACTTGGTGAGTGCCAGTTACTGTTGCCCGGTCTGTGCCTTAGCCCCCGGGCTCTTTGCAGTGGCTACCGTTGGTGAGAAATTCCAATTCCTGTTTCTTCCACACAAGCTTCCTCTGGTAAAGACAGGAACTCCTGTTAGAGGAACTATGTGGGCCGGGGATGTGGTGCTGGGTATAGAACGCTTGCCCCACTTAACCCAACCAGGGTAGAAGAAGTAAATCTTCTTGAAAAGGTAACTAGCTCTGGCTTTATTTTAACCATTCGACAGACACATTAAGGAGATCATACACTTGCGCTTTTTATGTAATATTTTGCTTTTTCATTGGTTATTAAGGACTGTAGAGGAGGCTCCGTGAGTCAAGCCACGAACAACCTGAGTTTAATGCCAGGGACACACATGGGGCAAGGAGGGAGCCAGCTCCTGATGGTTGTCCTCTGACCTCTGCACAACCGCCGTGGCACACTTTGACCCTCCACACACACACACACACACACACACACACGCACATTAATTTTTTTAAGTTACAAACCAGCAAGATGGTTCCTCGAGTAAAGACTGACAATCTGAGTTCAAAACCAACACGGTAGGAGTGAACTGGGGCCGGGGGAGATTGCTCAGAGGTGGAGAGCACTTGCCGCTCTCTGGAGGACTGGCTTCAGTTCCCAGCACCCACTTGAGGGCTCATAGCCATTCATACCATCCAGATTAATAGTTCCAGGGGATCTGACACCCCCTTCCCACCTCTGTGGGCACCAGCATACATAAATGTAGGCAAAGCACTCATACACAAAAATCTTTAAAGAAAAGAGTTTTAAAGGGAGAGACCCCACTCCCTCAGGCTGTCCTCCAATGTCCAGATGCCCACTGTTACAATAACCCCACATACACCAGTAACACTATCTCAACTTTTTTCTCCTTTTAAATGGCTACAGCCTGTATTTGGGGAGAGGTTATGTTTCGGCTGCCTTAAATTGACCCTCGCACTCCCTAGTTTAGCTGGTTTCTAATTTGCTAGCGTGCACTAGGTTAGGAAGAGGGGCAGATGCTCTGACTCAGCTACAAAACATCTGTGCATCACAGTGCGACGCTGTGGGCTGGGCGTCGCTCGCTCACTTCCTGCACAAGGGAACTGCTTTCTGAACAGTGTTCTTCTTGCTGATGTCGGCCTTAACTGTCTGGATAATCTCAGATCGTGAGCAACAAGAGCAGGCTGTGGAACACCGGCAGAAGCCTCTAATTAAGCTTCCTACACTTGAAGGTAGGAGCTCCTCCGCTTTAGCCTCACAGACTGTAATTTATCTCTCATTAAGTATCTCCTCGCCATTTGTAATTACAAAGTGTTTAGGGCTGAAGGTTTGGGTTTGTTCAGTTACATTTCTTATGGGTGCATGTATGTGTGTGAACTCGTGTGTACCATGACGTCTGGGAGGAAGCCAGAGAACAGCTTGGGAGCTTGGGTGGGCTGATTCTCTCCTTTCACTACAAGGGTCCCAGGGATCGAACTCAGGTCGTCAGGCTTGGTATCAGGTGCTCTCAACAGCTCGCTGGCCACGGAGTTTATAATTATTGTAATTTTCCCTCAAGATTATTTTAATTTCATTTACATGTCTGTCCCAGGGATGAGAGAAAGCGTGCCCATGAGTGTGGGAACCTGCCAAGACCAGAAGGTACCAGAGTCCCTGGAGCTGAGGTTCTCAGGTGCTAGTGAGCCACCTGATATGGGAGCTGGGAACTGAACTGGGTCCTCTTCAAGAACAGTCTTCATCTCGGCCACCGAACCATCGGTAGTTTTATTATTATTATTATTATTATTTTGTTTGTTTGTTGTTTGGTTTGTTGTACTGGGAATCGAACCCATAACCTTGTGCTTGCTGAGCAAGCACGCAACCACTGAGCTAAGTCCCAAGCCCACTGAAATTTATCTTTACGAGAAAATGACTAATCCTGTTTTGCTTTCAGTCTCCTGAAGATAATTTAGAAAAATATCCTTGGATTTTGAACCACACACTATAGTTTTAAAAAGAGAGAGAGGGAGAAAGAAAGCAATCAGATTGTTAAACCTTTTAAGTCCTGTGGAGATGGAGTGAAATCAAATTCAAAAATGGTTTCCGTGAATGAGAGATCAGGACCACAAAGTATGCTTTTTCAGTTAAAACTGTTTTCTGGTTTGTGTTCAGTTGTAGTACTGATCGTGAGAAGTCCTGTAGTTAGCACTGTGAGGGAGGGGTTTGTTTAGTTCAGAGCAGTAGAAACCGTCAAATGGGATGAAACAGGAAAGAAGAAACCTGCGTGCTTCCATGTATTTGTTCTTGTTTTAAGATTTACTTATTTTTGCTTTATGAAGGTTATGTTGCCTGCATGTGTGTCTGTATACCACATGTATGCAATGCCTGTGGGGGCCAGAAGAGACCCTGGATGCCCGGAAACTGGAGTTACAGATGGTTGTGAACCCCGTGTCGGTTGTGAACACCCCGTGTGGGTTCTGGGAACCTGGGTCCTCATCACGAGCAGTAAGTCTCTTTCTGTTTACTCATGTGTTTCTTTCTGAGACTGGGTCTCTTTGTAGCCCTGGCCGTCCTGGAACTCTCTGTGTAGAATCTGCCTTCCAGGTGCTGGAGTTAGCAGTGTGTACCACCATGCCAGGCTTGCCGGAAGTGCTCTTAACCACAGAACCATCTCTCCAGCCCACCGTGCAATTGTCAAGAACATAGCTATTTAATAAATGAGCTACAATGTGCTTGGCATTTAATACAGAAGCAGATGGCCATTGCATAATGTCATGTAAATGTAGCCGTGGTATAAGAATAAACATAGATTTGTGAACTGCCCCCCACCCCCTCCCCACGGAACAGAAGTTTTCCGGAAACCTAGGCTTGCTTCAAAGATTTGAGGCCATGTTTTAAAAACTGTTTACAGTTAAAACGGCTTCCTGGGATTAACCTAAGACAGGTGGACTGGCTTTGGCCATGGTCTAACTCGTCTACAAGAAGCATCTCCAAGAGTCTCAGTTGGTAGAGTGCTTGCTGTATATACATGGACCAGGGTGGCCACTCAACCCCCACATAGAAAGCCAGGTGACCAATGAGTGTCTGTAGCCCCAGGACTTAGCAGCCAATTTCTGGCACTCACTGACCAGCCAGCCTAGTCAAAACTGAGTTCTAGGTTTATTGGGAGACTCTTGTCTCAAAAAAATAAGGGATAGATAGGGCCATCAAGGAAGAAAGCTGCCATACCTGTGGCCTCTGTGTGCCCGAACACCTCCACACAAACATGCACTCACATACATGTATATAGAACAGGTGCATCTTTGAGACCTAGTTACCAGCAGAGCAGTGAAAACTGAGCCATTGGTCTCCCATCAGGAGAGGGATGTGATATTAAAGCCATACGTTCTATTAGTACTGGCATTTGTCACCAATATAAATAAAAGTAATTCTTTTCAAGTGTATTGCTCAGAACAGTAATTTCAAAGTAGTCGTTTTTTAAAAAGCATGGCATTGTTAATGTCTGTAGTTTCAGGGCTGGGAAGGCTCTCAAAGAGAGATTGCAAGTCTGAGGATAGTCTGAACTACAGAGACCCTCAAGAAAACTAAGTAAGCGAATAAACGCATAAATTGGAGCACATAGTCTCCCACTTACCTAAATGGTGAAATAAGACACCGCAAAACAGATCAAAGGATGCAAGCCCTTGTCTCTGTAAAGAGAGAACTGTGGAGACTCCCAAGAGAGGATTTGAGAAGCAGTAGTGGCTTTGACAACCGCTGCTTTTTTTAAAGAGAGAGCCACCACGCCCCAATGGGCTGGTAACTCAGCGGCGATTGGCTGAAGGAGCGGAAGGAACTCCCACAGCATCTGTAAATAATCCTGCAATGATGGTTAAATTTCTTGCCACGTAACATGTCCTTCACCCCGCACTACCTCTCTGACTTAGCCAAAGAATGGCCATCATAATGACATGTTCATAGATCCTTTTACCCTCCTTGGCCACCAGCCAGTATCTCTTGACCACTTCCGGCTGAGGGGGAATTCTGTGTCCACCTTGGCTCTTCTGGGCTGTTGGATATTGAGAGAAAGTACAGAAAACTGCCTGGGTAAGACTGTACAGAGTCACACCGTCTCTGTTCATCAGATGATGGTTCCTGGGCCATGTGCTCTATGCTAAGATTTGGGTTTGTCTGTCTCCTTGCCTCAGTGTGAGTAAGTCTTGTGGGCCCATATTTTTCTAGATGACACTAACTCAATCTCAATCTCACTCTCTCTCTCTCTCTCTCTCTCTCTCTCTCTCTCTGTCTCTCTCTGTCTCTCTCTCTCTCTCTCTCTCTCTCTCTCTCTCTCTCTCTCTCTCTCTCTGTGTGTGTGTGTGTGTGTGTGTGTGTGTGTGTGTGTGTGTGTGCTGGAGACTGAATCCAGGGCCTTGACATATTAACCATGTGCTCTATCCCTGAACTATGAGCCAGTCCCTGTACAATGCCTTTTATAGTGGAAGTTATCCCAGGTAAGCAGATTCGTTCAGTTGGCACACAGACATTTTTATTTGAACAAAGCATGTGTTTCTTCTAGCACGTACTAGAATGGATTAAAATTAGTGCACTGGATATGGTGATGAGGCTTGTAACCCCAGTGCTCAGAGGATGGAAGCAGGAGGGTCCTGGTTTGAGTCTAAAGTGGGCTGCACAGTGAGGTGGTTTCTCAAAACCATCCAAACGTGTGACGAAAAAGTGAGTTGACGTAAAGCCAATTTAAAGAAAAGTCAGTCTGGAGCTATGACTCAGTAGGTCAGGTGCTTGGGGAGCGAGCATCAGGACCCGAGTTCAGTCGCCCGCTCTTACATAAAAAAGGGAATAGCCGCGTTGGGGAGGCAGAGACAAGGGGATCCCTGGACTTGCTGGCCAGCCAATCTAGCTGAACCCTTGAGCTCAAGGTTCAGTGAGGGGCCATGTCTCAAACAATAAAGCGGAGAACAATTGAAGATACCCAGTACTCACACATGTGCCTGTGAACACACAACACATGCTTTTGTTTTTTAAAGAAAAAAGAATAATTATATATAGTCCAGGTAATTATATATAGTCCAGGTGTCCACAGGTGTGGCATTACTTCCTGGCTACGTTGGAGGTTCTGATACCATGAGTAGGTATATGTTAAACATAAGAAATGTTTATTAGGGTGAGCCAGGGAGAGGAAGGACCGCTGCCTTACAGTCCTTACAGAGACTGAGTTTGCCTCCTGCAGGCGGTCTCTCCCTGTGCTACATTTCAGTGGGCTTTGGTTTCGGCAACTGCATAAGTAGTTACTAAGTGTTTGGTGGTGTCCCAGTTTGGTTTCTGTTGTTGTTTTTGTTTTTGTTTTCCCCATGGGGAAGAAAGGGCTTATTTCACCTTACTTCAGTCTGTCACTGAGGGAGGCTGAGGGTAGAACTCAAGGCAGAGATCATGGAGGCGTGCTGCAGACAGGCTTAGCTTCCGCGGCTTCTTCAGCCTGCTTTCGTCTACAGCTCAGGAGCCCAGACATGCCCACACTCCATCCAGCCTAGTGGAGACAGCCCCTCAGCTGAGGGTCCCTCTTCCCAGATGGCTCTGCTTTGAATCAAGATGACGCAATAATCGACACAGGTTGGTTTTCCACTTTTTCTCCACTGGGAATGATAAGAGTCTTTCTATTCTTCTATCCAAATTTCCAAGTTTAATCCTGCATGGATTAAACACATTAGTGATTGGCTTCATGTTACCAATAATGCATTGCTGTCTCACTAGGGAAAGAAAGAAAAGCACTTCCCCTTGGAGACATTGAACCGACAGCGAGTCCAGATTTGGATAATCTGCTTCCCGCTCTGTGTTTTCTGTCCTCTGTCTGTCCCTTGAGTCTGTGTCTGTGCCTGCCCTGTGTATCTGTGTGTTTTGTTTGTGTCTGTCCCTGACAAAGGGCTTTGCCCATGCGGAACAAATGAGACAATCTGCAGAAACACTTAACAGAGTTTTATAAGGGACTAAGCCACTGGCCCCAACTGGTCCCAGCTGATCCAGATAGCAAGTATTAGTGTTTATCAACCAATAAATGGATGCTTTCAACGTTTATGGTAGATCTTAGATTTCTTTCAACTTTGAGATTTCAGAAGCTCAGGCCAGGCCCAGTGTCTCTCTCTTCCTGCCGCCTGAAAATCCAGATGTAGAACTCTCAGCTCCTTCTCCAGCACCGTGTCTGCCTGCACACTGCCATGCTTTCCACCATGACGATAATGGACTAAACCTCCGAACCTGTAAGCCAGCCCCAGTTAAATGTTTCCTTTTTAAGAGTTGCCACAGTCCTGGTGTCTCATCACAGCGATAGAAACCCTAACCAAGACAGCTGCTTTCAGGAAATGATACACCTGCATTACCTGGTCAAGGACACAGAAGAGCCTATAATTTAAGATTACAGCTACTCATTAGCTTAGGTTGTAAAAGTTGGTTATGTGGGAAGTCCAGGGCAAATAAAGTTGGTTGTTACATTGTCCCCTTAAAGGCAGGTTAAACCAACAGTCTGAGTATACAGTAAGACAGCCAACTTAAGTCTTCCGTGACCTCAAGGTGTATTATTAACTCAGCTGTGAGGTCCAGCAAATGTTCCAGTCTCTTAGGATGTAAGAGACATTTTCAGAATTTGGATGGCCACGTAGAATAAATTTTTCAAGCTTGTGACTAGGGATGAGTTTGTGGGACAGACTAATAGGACATGGTTGAGTTTTGTCACTTCTGCTTTGTGTCTGATATTCTCTTTGTTTTCTGGCTGATTTGAGTAATTTGTCTGTTTAAGGTTGGGTCTCACTGTGTGGACCCCAGTGGGGTCCTGTCCCCCAAAGAGTTGAAGGTAGTTTTCAGGTGACACCTCAGTATTTTTCTCAAGAGGATTGTTAGGAAAGGCTAATGCTGGACCCGACAGCTCTTTGGTTTACTGTTTGAGTTGTGAGCCGCCATCCCTACCTGCTTCTGCTGGGATGTGACAGCATCCACTGTCAGGGCCTCAACAGAAGCCAAACCAACAGGACCAACCAATCTTAGACTTTGAGTCTCTAAACCTTGACACCTAAATAAACTTCCTCTTCTTCATAAATTAGCCTGTCTCTAACATTTCACTATAGCGATGAAAAGTCGGTTCCTGCCAGATTACCTTAATCCACATTCCAGAGTCAGTGGGGCCTATTGGACACTGGGCATTTGAATCTCCATGTATTGAACATCTTCATGTGGTTTATGGTACTTGGAGGCTTTATCTGAGTTTTTATTTTGTTTTGCTTTGTTTTGGGTTTGGGTTGTGGTTTTTTTTTTGTTTGTTTTGTTTTGTTTTTTGTTTGTTTGTTTTTGGATGTGGTGATAAGGACTGAACCTAGGACTTCAGTACTGGGCACACATTCACTGAATTATGCCCTCCACACGCACCTTACTTTTTTTTTATTTTTTTAAATATTATTTATTTATTATGTATACAAGGGCACCAGTCCTCATTACAGATGGCTGTGAGCCACCATGTGGTTGCTGGGAATTGAACTCAGGACTTCTGGAAGAGCAGGCAATGCTCTTAACCACTGAGCCATCTCTCCAGCCCACACCTTACGTTTTTATATAAGCTTCACTTCCATATCTAGAAAAGTAAGTCCATATGCTTCTCTGCTTTGCACCCCAGTAGCAACAGAATAGCCTGTTAAATGTCGTGTCTTAGTCGTTGTTCTATTGCCGTGGAGAGACTCCATGACCACGACAACTCTTATAAAGGAAAATATTTAATTAGGGCTGGCTTACAGTTCAGAGGGTTAGTCCATTATCAAGGCAGAAAGCATGGCAGCGTGCAGGCAGACACGGTGCTGGAGGAGGAGCTGAGAGGCCTACATCCTGATCTAAGGCAAGTGGCAGAGAGCTTTAGCCTGGCCTGGGCTTTTGAAACCTCAAAGCCCACCCCTGGTGACACACTTCCTCCAACAAGACCACACCTCCTAATCCTTTCAAATAGTGCCGCTCCCTAAGCATTTCCCTTTGAACCTATGTGAGCCATTCTTATTCAAACCACCACAGTCAGCAAGTACATTTCTGTGGCCAGCCATCACATTTATCCATCCAATACTTAAAAACTTTTATCTTGAAAAAAATTGAAGTACATTAATCATCTAGGCATCCTCTGGTGTTTTCTAAGCTCTGTTTCATGGCTGAATGAGATGGAAGGCGGGGGAAAAGATTTCAGTTACGTTTCTGTTTTCTCTTCACTAATAGAAAAAGCAGAACACAGTACACCCCAGGGAAGATACTGTTGTAAGAACAGCACAGCCGGCTGAGAGAGGCAAGGCTCCGGCCCTCCACGGCCAGCATTATGTAGGCGATGAGGAGCTGGGTGTGGGCCCAAGTGAGGGCTCTATAGAGCAGCCGCAGGGACCAGGAGCTGATCCACACACTGGCAAAAGTGTGAATCGCATAATCGGCTTCCACCATCACAGACCAGCATAGGAAACCAAACACTTGTCCCGGGTGGAGCCCATGCCACCAGGCGGAGAAGGCAAAAGTCTGCAGCACCGGCCAGCGCCGGCTGTTCTGGAAGATGAGCCGCCTGAGCCACCGAGCCGTGCTCCGGTTCCACTGCCTCGCGAACAGGGAGATCCTGTGGGTAGTTTCCAGGGTCCACATGTCCCCGTCGGGGATGTATCCCTCCTCCTCCCCAGACCTCTGGCCAGCCTCAGACCCAAAGCCCGCCGCATGGAGGAGAGAGTCGTCCAGGATCCAGTGCGAGTAGTAGGTGAGTTTGAAGAGCCCGGCTGTGGACCACATGACGTAGACACACTCCAGCTGCTGGCAGTCGTCCAGCCCGGCTCCTGCGCTCACCACCGTCCTCAGCGCCACCTTGAGCCACTGCAGCGCGACGATCTGCAGACCCCTCCAGGTCAGAGCCCGCAAGGAGACACTGGGCTGCAAAGGGCTTGATCTTTCAACGCAAGCCTGAAACCTCTGAAAGGAACACAGGGGGCCTCCCAGGAGGGCAGGGAAAAAGAGCAAGTAGCTGAAGTAGGGCAGAGCCTTACGTAGGCACTCAGACAAAGAACTTCTGTTCCCCGAGCCGCCCGAGGCTGCCTCCACCTTCCCCTCATGAATGTCCAGTGAGAGCGACGTGACTCTCTGCGTCAAGAGCATGAGGGAAGAAAGAGCGACGTAGAATCTGAAAGAGATTTAAATGAATACATGTTTGAAGCCACCCCGGACTTATTCTCTCGCTCCTGTCCCGACCTGCCCACAGATCTCATAGCAAATCATACTTCACAAAGACTCTTAGAGTCTATCAGAACCACACATTTTTCCAGGGCAAAAGCACTAATCATTGGTTGGAAATGTAAAAAAAAAAAAAAATGATGAGGAATACTATGAAAAATATTGACGATAATTTTTTGACACAGGGTTTCACTTGTAGCTCTGACTGAACTTGAGCTCCCAGGGCTACTCCTGACTGCCTCTAAATGCTGGGAATGAAAGCACGGTGCCACCATATCTGACTGGCATATATATATATATATATATATAT